GGCTTGTTGGGTCAAGAGAGGGTGAGCGGCCGCAAGGGCTGGATTATTGGTTGGGGAAACCACGGGCACAGGAACTAAGCCCTGTAGTACTGACACAGCGCCGTGAAAACGGGGTGACAAAACATCCACCCCTCTGCCTGCCCGGCAAGCTTCAAAAGACAATTAAAGCTGAAACAGAGATCCTTCAAAACATAGACGTTTACTCCCAGCAAAGTCAAAAGGAGCTCCAACAGCTGTAAGGTCAATCAAGAAGAAAGGAAGACTAAGATGCCCACCAAGCAGTGCACAGGAGGACACGGTTTCAGTATTTCAGAAGCAGCAAAGCTGTAGAGGAATTGGTGCCTTAGGGGATCACCCCAGAAAAGGGGAGCAAGGACACGGATGTGGAGAGAAGAGCCTTGTGCGTAGGACTCTGCAAAATGGGAATTCATCAAAATTCAGGTTCATCTGTTCTGGACACATTCTCTTCCAGCAACGCACTGGAGCAGCACCAGTAACGGCACAGTCCGACACACAGCTGACTGCAGAAAGCACCAACAGGCACCAGGTGTTCCCCAGAGATGCCTGCAGAATCTGAGTTTCAGCGTGAAGCTGCTGAGCTGGCAGATGCATTACTTCCCTCAGCAAAACCAGCACCCGTGCCAGGCTGGGGAACAGAGAATCGGGCTTTTTCTTTGTTAAAAACAAGGCGTCAAGAAAAGGGTACCTACCAACTTCTGTGTCTTCGTTTGCTAACAGGCTGAAGGCATAAATGACAAAAAGAACTGAAATAAGGCAGACATGGTATAACAGATACCTTTTCAGGAACAATAATCTCACTAATTATCACAACTATTTGAATTTCAGTAAAGAGGAAAGTAAAAGAAGGGCCTTTGGTTTTGTAAGATGCTGAAAGTCTTTGGAAGGGTCCACCCACACTAGATGAATGACCTGTGAGGTGGCAAATGAAGTTCAACCTTTATCAAACCAAATCAATGATTTATTTTTTCACCCAGACCTGCTGTGATATAAATTAATTGTATGAACAAAAGAAATCAACCTACAATTGCCTCAGAATATACTTTAAATCAACATGCAGTTACCACCAAAAAAAAAAAGCTTCAGGATGGAGCTTCAAGCTTCATCTCCTACAACAAACTTGCACTGGTGCTCATTGGAAGAGACACATTATTGTTGATGGTGCATATTTGAGAGAGCTAACAGCATGAAAAATTTACCCATTGCCTTTGTTGTGATGGATTCATTATTGTCTTCTCCAAGGCCTCCTTGAAAGTTGAACTTGGGTGGGGGTGCAGATAATTATAAAAATATTGGTTTACACCAAAAATCCATACTTGCGGTGCACTAGCATGTTGCCAGATACCAGCTAAACAGCAAGACTCACGGCAGCAGGATCGTATCAGTCTGATCCGTATCCTCATTCCCTTGGAGTCTCCACAGTTCAGTTCGCACCATGGGCTCTTACTTCAAATTCTAACATCTTGAGAGTAGAGGCTCTGACGCAGAAATCGCACAGATAAAGTAATGCTTCCAACAGGCTACACACAACAAACATCAGAAAAAAGAAAAAAGCAAAAAAAGCCCAAACACGGACACACTACTAATGGTTATCTCCATACTAATCACGGCAGAGGAACACAATGCACGAGTCCAGCCCAGCTTTCCAAGTTGCAAATGCTTGTCCAAAATACCATCTGAAAAGAATCTGCAGTCATTCTCTATGAAAATACTTCTCTGTCACCTCAGCAGCCATGGGAAAGCCTTGAATTAGACTACCTCCCCCCCTGCCCCTTTTGCATAGACTAAAAGAATTGCTAAGATCTCTCTCTTTTCAGAAGAATTTTTCCATATGCTTCTTTGCAGGCAGAAGTCACTGGTAATTGTTCATCCACTCGGCAAGTTCTTCCATCTTCCACATTGTGCCCTTGGAGTAACATTACTAAGTGAGGAAAATAATTATTTTTGATAGAATTAAGTCTCTTCATCCTAAAAAGCTAAAGCATACCCATTAAGACATAGGCAAACACCACAAAGAATTAATACAGAAAATAGTTTATTTTCCACTCCAATAGATCTCAATAGCGACATTTCAAACTCATCAGAAATGAGCTTTAAAATATATTAAAAGACTGCACAGCACATGCTAGAGAATACATCCAGCCCTCAAAAAAGAGCTGGAGACTTCTTCAGACAAGCTGTGCTTCCTTAAAAATACTGCTGAAGCTAAAAATCCATTTACATTTAATATTACCCTCTTTGTTTTTGCAGGTCTGCAAACAAAGACTTTCTCTCACAAAGGAACTCCTCTCAATACTGAGAGGCTTTGCCTAAACAAAGATTTAAGGTCTCCGTCTCATTACAATATTTTAGAGTAAAAACATTTGAAACACTAGTAGGCATCTTCTACCTCTCCTAAAAACCGAAGAGAGAAAAGCAGCACCTTAGGACATCCAAGGAAAGTGAGGTGAGCTAACAAATGACACAGGGTTCATTCGGATCAGCAGGGTTCCTCTTGATCACTGCCATGTGGCTTTTCAAGTGTATCAGGAATCAAGTTTACTTAGGCACAGTGCAAGAAAGCTACTGATTCCCAGCAGCAGAGATCTTCCTGTATTTGTATATGAAAGCATCTGTCTTTCCAAGACTAACTCCATGGACGCCACATGGCACCAGAGACCCAAAACATGTCTGTCTGCTCCTGAGACAGGATTCTTCAGCAACATTCACCAAGGAGGAAGAATTCCCATCAACATTCAGGGCTTTTGCAGTGGTGGTTTCACTTGTGCCACCAGAAATGGCATTAGCAGAGTCATTTTCAGCACACTCAGTAATGCCATCCATGTGCTTATGGAGATCTTGGCTCAGCAGCAATACAATAATGCCTCCAACACGAAGTACTCTGGCAATTGCAAGAAAAATAAACATTAGGTGTTAAATCCTGCCTGGCATTCTTTCGTCTGTGCAGAACTCAACACTGCTAACACTTCAGACGCCAGCTGCATCTGATAAAAAACCTGAGCATGTTAAGGGTCATGGCTCAACTCAGTAACCTACACCTCCAAATGGAATTTAAATTCCCTATCTTCATAACTCTTCCTAAATGGGAGAACTGGGCCCTGGCCTGACTCCCAAACATTTCCGATCTCAGGAGTTCCTTCCATTAAGTTAGCAAGGAAGATGGACCTAGTTTTTTCACTCCTAGTATTCTTCCACGGATCAAGGGCAGTATCACCTTCAAACCCCAGTTTTGGGTCTCATGAGCCTCCACCAGTCTGCAAAGGAGCAGCTTCCCAGGGCAGCAAGAGCTTTTCAGGTTGGCAAGGCAATTCTGAAGCTGTCCTTTCTGCGTTCTACTGATCCTTAATGGCTTTCAAACTCAGGAGAGGAAAATGAACCACTGTTTGTAATCCATCTGTTTGTAATCTTAGTACATGAGGAAACATTACACTTGGCTTTGAAAGAATGGACAAAAAGGACTATCCTGGCTCCACAGCAAGTGGATTGAACAGTCTTACTGGTGGGGCTCGCATGGTAATGGTCCCTTCCTCACCTCCACATTCCCAAGGAAATATTTTGCTCAGGATGATCCAACAGAGCAAATGAGACCAGAAGACAAGCACAGACAAAGGGAGGGACGGTCAGCGTAAGCTGACATAAGATTGCCCTGCCATTCTGTGGAGCTACCTCACCTCACCCACCATCTTCCCACCACATTCCCGCATTGAGTAGGCAAGATCAACACCCGCTGAAGACCAATGCTACAGAAAGGCCTTGTTTTCAGCCAAGAAATTAAATAAAGGAGCAGATGGTTTGAACTGCCCGTTAGAAGCAGTCCACCATTAGCTTGGCTCAACTCTGCCACAAAATGACAGGGTGAGGGATGAAAAGAGGCATCTGAAAGCAAACCAGGTGGCTAGCTGGATATCCCAGGATATGCTTTGAGAAAGGAAAATGCATACCACTACTTTCTGCTATGAGATCCTTCCTGCCAAGGCAGCTGGTAAAAGCTTGGTTGTGAACCCAAAAGGAAAGCCTATGATTTTATACAAGCAGACCTGAACAGAAAAAGTATTATTGCTTCATGTGCCTGGCCATGCTTTAAGTTTGTCTAGGTCATCCTCTCCTCCTTCACCTTTCTGCCTTGTAAAGAACATTTGTGAGTGTGGGTCACAAATACAGAATCATAGAATCTATAAAATATTTTACCATCACGCCTTGTAAAGAATATTTCGAAGCGTAACTCACGCAATAAGCTCATGCCTTGTCAGCTTGTGCTGCCATCAGCACTTCCACAGCTTGCAAGACAAGCCACAACAGCCTTTAAGGGACAAGTAAATGACTCAAGACTTTCACTATCCTGCACAGGATCAGACTACAAAGCTGGAGAGTGTTAGGAGCAAAGTAAACCTGAAGCTGACTGAACGCGTAGGATCGCAAACCATTGTGACGTTTACACCAAACCCCAAACATGTCAAAAGCCACGTGTACCTGTCCATTTCTTGGAGAATATCTGGAAAGAGCTGTATGTCTTTTGTGATTTTGAACTTCTTCCCAAATGGAATATCCGAAATCACAGCATCAAAGCTTTCTGAAGGCAACGGCAATGCTGCAGAATAAAGGTGGGTCTTTACTATAGGAAAAATGAACAACTATGCCCCCATTCACCTTACAAAACTGTCTGCCAGCTCTTTCACTGATTTTGAACTCACATTCATAGGCTTATTCTATACTTATCCTCAGAAACAGCATTATGAAGGCACACACCCAATGCAGACTGGGAAGAGACAAATGCATGAGAGCATGGTTTAGTTTGCAGATTTTCTGTTACTGGTCATGTTTGCCCCAATAGCAACACTCTCCTAACAGGGAACTGCATGGTGCCCAACTAACTGCTCTTTCTCAACACACAGTACATCTTTACAAGCGAAATGCAAAAGAAGAACTAAGCTTCCAAGCACTTTACTTAGTGCAGATGTTCAGACGCACATGTATGAATGGCAAGGAACCACATGTTAAATTCCTCTCCACACCCCTTTTCTCCCAAGAATCTGGTTACAGTCACAATCACTTGGATTCTGTCAGTGCTAGTGTCTTTGAAGTGTCTCCCCTGTGTTTCTGTATCCTAGGAATAGTCAGTTCTCTTGCCCTTGAGGCAGCACTGCATTCTTGTGGTGACAAAGACCAGGCTGTGCTGGCCATAGCACTGCCAGCACATGAAAGGACAACAGTAGGGATTCTCCATTCCTCAGAATATTTAAAACTCAGCTGGACAAGACCCTCAGCAACCTGACGCAGCTTTGAGGTTAGCCTCACTGACAGCAGATGACAGGACTAAAGACTTCCAGTGGTCCCTTCCCACCTAAACCCCACTGGGATTCTGTGCCAGCCTTTCCAAAACTGGTTGGAGATGGTTCTTGGACCATCTTTGGATCAACACTTGCAGCACAACAATTTTACCTACAAATGAAAAGACAAGTTACCTACAGTCCTTCTCAAAACATGCAGAAATAACAGCTTCTGACCAGTGACAGAGACTAGTTACTTGTTCAGTATTAGAAAAGCATGACATCAAAGTACCTTCCATTATCCTAGAAGCCAAGGCCAATCACAGCTTTTAAGTAAGAAATAAAGCTATATATATTCTTATAAAAAGGAAATATTTCTTGGCCTTCTGATAAAAAATAAATATTGCAAGATAAAAAAAAATACACATACTTTATCACCCATACACAGGAAAAAACAGTCAGCTTTTGTTTGTCATGAATTTTATATAGTACTAAATTAGACTCAGGCTTCGAGGTCCAGAATAAGGTCATACAATTATTATTTTCTCCCCAAACTAACTCACGAACTGAGAGCAGATTCCCTCCTCTAGGAGCAGGGCATCACAATTTAAAATACTCCTACTGCAAAACATCAACATTCAACTAGGTTTAATGAGTCCCCACTATCAGTCATCTGGTAAATTTAAGTTACAAGCCACAAAAAAAAAAACAAAAACCAAACATGTCTCACTTGGAAATCTACAGACATAGAATCATAGAATGGTTTGGGTTGGAAAGGACCTTAAAGATCATACCTTTCACAGAAGCTTTAAGTAATTCAATCTTATCCATCAAGCCTGCAGTCTTAATATTCACATCTGCACCCTCCAACTGTGAATCACTTATATCAGCACCCCAGTAACAGGCTTCCTATTCAGAGAAAAAAAAGTCATTTTGTTGACAAACAGGTGTATTTATTTTATAAATCCTTCTCAGAACTGCCTTGCTGCATAGCTCTTCCAAGATAAATCCCTTGCTGGGAGATCTAGTACCATGGCACACAGCAATACACAGACCCAGAGGACAGAGGAATGCGGGAAGTCTGTGCCATTTTCAGTCCTTTCACGTTCTAGTCTGCTCGAGACACTTGTAACTTACAGAAAAACTGAGACTACATCCTAACAGCAAGACTGCAGCTAGCTACAGACAGCAACGCTGCCTCTAATACGGACAACTGACTGTCACATTGACACCTCCATTCCCAGGGTAAGCCCAGGCAGTTTTAGAAGTCCACAGTCACCTCACACAAACCCTGCAGTATAAATCCAGGGCTCCCAGCACCCACCTGCCTAAGTATGTAGGACTTGGTTTCACATTCCTGTGGAGGAACATTTGTAATAAAACATTTGACAACTGCCTAGAAAGATCAGTTTGGTTCCAACTTTCCAGTAACTGACTTTGGTATAACTGTGGTACAGGCTTTTGTTGATGGAACTACAAGCTGTCTTGCAAAGGTCCTGCCTATTCCAACTGTGATACTTACAGGCCACTCTCTGGCAGCTTCCAGCAGTATTGTTCCTAGCCCACACATGGGATCCAGCACAAAAGCACCCGCCTACAGAAATAAAGGGGTTACTGCATCTCAAGCAAGACAGACTCCTCTCCCAGGACAAAGTGTATTCAGGGATGTACAGATCACCTACATATCCACACTGAATCCAGTGCAGGTAACAATAATCACCAGTTTACCGGGCCAAACTTGCTTGTAAGAGAGTATGGTAAAAAGCTTTAATAGTTTCACTACAGACAATGCATCACTGCATCCAGCCTTGAGGTGACATCTAGGGGAAAAATTATGAGTGGACTGCAGATGGATAGTGGTACCAAATTAATCTGTGGAAAAGATCACACTTGCTTTTGTTTTCCCTTGGGAGAACAACTCCAAACAAGGTTTGAAGACTGGACAGTGAAAAAAAACCTTGCAATGTAGACATATATCCATACGAGGAATAACACCTCTCCTGAGAAGGACCTGGTATTAGAGCAGGTATCTGGTTGAAAAGCAGGTGATAGTGCACTCTGACCACACAGATAAAGCGAACCCTGTCCACATGCATTACAGCATGGAGCATTAAAATCATCACACTTCTTCCAAGCTTCCAGCTCCAGCCCTGACGAGCAGCAACCCCCCTTTCATTCATGACTCTACCTCTTTGCCATGAACATTCACTTACACTGATTTCAGCCAGAGATGCCATGGCCCATGCGATTGTTGACCGCAGCCCTACTGTTTTGATATACTCTCTGTTTGCCAGTGGAAGCCTGTAGACAACAACAACAAAAAAAAAAAAATCAACGTAAGATATAGGTACAACCACCCAGAAAAGCCCATGTAATACGAAAGAACAAATTCATTGGACAGATCCACAGACAGACAGATAGAACTACAGTCTGCTTTTATCCATAACCCTCTGCAAAGTCTGCCTTACATGCTCCAGACAGACCACAAGATTAATGTGACAGTTCAGTGAATATTAAACCAGAAGATAAAATACTCACAGTGAACTGCAAGACTATTTAGAAATCTAGAAACTATGCCTGTTCTGATACTCCCAAGACAAATCTGGTGAGAATTCCTACCTGAAAAGAGGAATCCCCACCACAGAGTGAATGTCATTAAGATGCACGAAGATCTGAAAAAAGAAATAACAACATTAGAAACTCTCAACTTGACATGATAACAGCTTTAACTTATTTAAACCAGACACATATGATGTTTCTACAAAATTCTGATCCTAGTTTTTAAGAACAAAAATACACACATTAGACAATTATGATTAACTGGAAGAAATCACACTAGGTAATCTGAATGCCACTTTAAAGAGGATTTAATTTTTAAGCAAGTTGGGAGGGGAATTTTGTCAGACAGGAATTCATCAGCAAGCACTTCAATCTTTAAGGAAACTGATTTTTGTTAACATTGAATGGATATTTTTAAATATAAAACCATTTAATCTAAGCAGAAGATTATTCACTGTATACTAGGACTCAGCTATTTACACATATCCTTTTTTTGTTTTGGTTTGTTTGTTTGTTTTTAAAACAAGTGCCACTAAGAGACATTTCAGAGGGAAGGCGAACGTGGCTAATCCTTCCAGAAATGCAGGCAGCTCAAAGAAATTGTTCTCCTGTCCCATAGAGAGCATCCCAAAATAAAACTGAGCTCCCCAACAGGTCTTGCATGACTGCAATCCCTCCCCAGAAAGCCCAAAGAGAAACATGATGCTTTTGCAGTATCCCAGTCCTCAGCACTTGAATGGTTACAGAGCAAAAATCTGAACAAGAGCCCCACTTGAGACTCAACAAAGCCGTATTTGATGCACAGCCTGGAAAAAACAGAGCCAGTATATGAACTCAGATTTTACAGAAGGCCCCAGACATCCTAGCATCAGTGCTGAGAGCAGCTTCCATATGCCAAGCACAGAGATGGAGAAACAGCCTGTCAAGAGTAATGAGTCCTTTCCAAGGTCTCCAGATAGCTTGCACCATGGAAGGTGCCTTAAGCAAGGTGCTTGTCGGGGACAGGGTCTTGGAGGATCCTCTTCCACAAACAGCATTCTCGAGTTCCTTCAGAACATGACCTGGCTGCTTGCTCTGTTACCCTACAGAGGCTAACCTAGCTGTCCAAGGGCTCCCGTGATCTCCATTTTCAACAGTCAGAGTCCAGCAGTTTGTAAGCGTGCCAGATCCTGAGACATCACCTGCATGGATCCTTCCCCTCATGTACAGGCCTATGCTGCCGTGCTAGTATTTCAATGCTCTGGAAGGCACACACACAGTGGCTACCAAAAAGCTCTGCTCAGTGCTACCAGATGATTTCTGGTTAAATTCAGCAGCTGAAAGACAAACAGGGGAGAGGCCACAGTCCCACATGCAAAAGGTGCTGAGAACAAGAGATGGGGGGCAATTCTGGAAACAGCAACAGCCCATCTGGCAGACAACCACCACTACCTCTAGATCCGGGTCCCGCAGATCAGCCTGCCACCCAAACTGCTTCATGAGCGCTATGCCAACGGCTCTTCCAATCTCCTGCAAGGCGGGAAGAACAGTCACAGGCAGCAAAAATAACAGAATGAAGAAAACTACAGATCACAGCCTTGACTGCACAAACCTTATAAATATCTGGGAAAATAAAGAGTTTGTCTTTACCCACAGGAGAACAATTTGTACAAAGCCCAGAAGAGGTACAACAGGACGCAGCTAGTGAGCGAGGGGCAGAGCAAACATACCACAGGACAAAAATCACTGTCACTCAGCTGCAATGTGGGAGGCTGAAGTTCAAGTCCTGCCCAAGTTACAACAAAAGTTGTAATCATTTTAGAATTAAATATCACACACAGAATATTTCTGATGGCTCTAAACTAGATTACATAAGAGAAAACCTGTGAATGTACAACCGCAACTCACACTTTTAGTGCATTTACAGCATCTAGAAAACTCTGACTACTTTCAGAATATGAGAGCTCAAATGCACAGCACAAATTCAAGCAAAAAATTCATGTTGTCAGGCTCACGTATCCCACCTTCCCAGGCTACCTGCCTTAGTAGGAAAAATAAAAAAAAAATTAAACTACTGTTATCTTCAAGTAAGAGAAATCTACATAAACTGCAGTTACACAGGTTTGTTTTTTATATTTTGTTATTTTCCTCACAGTAGAAAGATACCATAGATTACAAGAATGCTGGATGGAAGGGGCCCCTGGAAGTCTCTACACCTTTCTCATGAGGACCAAGAACCACCCCCCAGGACACATCCCAGAAATGCACCAACGCCCTGGGGAACAAGTTCTCCCCAGTACCCAACCAGAACCCACCAAAGCTCCAAGTTCTGGCTTTTACCCTTCTTTTACACTGTCATACAATTAATTGGAGTTTGGCTCTATGGTCCTTGCAATAGCCCTTTAAGTACCTGTAAACTAACATCAGATTGCTCCTCACACTCCACAAGCCCAGCTACCTCAGACTTTACCTATCCTCAATAAAAGGCATTGACTTGAAAAATACTCAGGGTAGCAATGCCCAGAAATTAACAACAGCCTTTGTATTTCCATTTGTTTAAGGTAAACGCCAGTGAAGGACTTTTTTAAGAAAATACAGCAAGAGGTTAGATCAGTTCATTATTCTGAAACGTACAACACACAATTGAAATGACAAATAAGCTACACATCTCCTTTCACCTTTGCTAAATTCTTTTAAAACATAGATACTTTAGCATACCTGTGAAGTAAGTATTTTGGCAATCGCTCCACTACAACGACAAGAAACTCTGAAACTGAAACTAAACTGCTCATTCGCAATAGGTTTCTCTCCACTGCTTTCGGAAGGGTCTTCTAAGGAAGCCTTGCTTTCAGTCCTGCAGTCCTGATCATTCTTTCTTTCTGGTACTACACGTGTCTCTCCAGCTTGCACTTGACATTCCTCAGACAGTGTCTCTCTCACTTGCTCTGTTTTCTGCCTTTTAGTTGCAATATTTGACTCTTCTGATTTTCTCTTCAGAGGCAATGGGTTTTCTTGAGAGACATCATCTTTATTCCTCTCATGCCTGTGAAGGTTTCTCCAAATAGAGATAACATCCAGCCAATACTTTGGTTCCTCAATGGCAAGGCTTTTAATCTCATGCAGCATTTTCCCTGGAAGAAAAAGCTATTTCAGATTAAGTAGTTCAGTCTCAGCATTTGGTTTTCCTACAGATTGAGAAGAGCTGTTAAGAGACTGTGTTCCTATTTCATTAATGTGTGAATCCAGGAACTGCCATCACAGGCACAGCTGAGCTCTCAGCACCCACACACCCCACCAGCAGAGACCCAGGCATCCCTCTGATTACAAGCTCTGCAGTACCAAGATTAAACTGTGCAGGGGCTGAATCCTGTAGAATTCAGCAGCTCTAGGAAACCAGACTGCCTCCGAGAGTCACTCCCAGGGACAGAGGAGAGCCCACCATGCCATCCTCCCCAGAAAACACTTGGTTCAGAATTAGAGATGAGAGATACTTTCCAGGATTGAAAGACAGACCTGAACATGAATCACTTTGATTCAGCTCAGAATAAAAGCCACGATTTTATTCTTTTAGGAAGGAAATCTCTCCTTGCTATTCATCAACCTGCCTTCAAACCTGCAAAGTGGCACATGCCTAAACTTACACCCGTGGGCAGTCCTCTTGAGCTATGACAAGAGAAGCACAAAGAATACTGAAGCCAATTCACTTAAAAACCTTGAAAGTGGTCAAGGTGTGTGTGTGTGGGGGGGTTCTCCTATTTCTCATTTAGAATCATGGTTAAATTTGATCCTCAAAGATGAAGACTGTCTGTGATCTCCCAAATAAAATTCCACCAGCACCCTGATATCTATCCATCTTACTTTAAATTCTTATTCCACCACTGACAGAGAATGTGACCCGAGTAGCTGAGATTTACAAGAAATCTGTGTACTGAGCAGTTCAGTGACACAGGATATACATCTGGATGCACTCCACCTGAAGGAAAATGACTCACGGTCAAAACGCACATAAGGGTTCCAGAACTGGACTTCAAGTTTCATTATTTTTTTCTGGTGTGGGCAGTGGTGTTACACACACACGTGTACGGCCATTGCCAGCAGAGCACAAGCTGTAAGACAGCTATTTCACACATGCTTAAAGCCACTTTCAGCACTAGAAAAGCACTGAAGACGTATCTGAGTGAAAGATACTTCAGAAATTATTACTGTAAATTAGAAGCACAGCCATTTATAAATAAATAAAATGAAATATTAACTTTATAAGTAGAACTTGAACGGGGGCTTCCCGCTCCAGCGCACACAGCCTGTGCGCACACCGAGGGGACGGCCCGAGGGGAGGGGCCGGTGCCGTACCTTTACTTCTAGAAACCGCGAGCGGGGTGTGCTTCTTAACCAGCAGAAACAGCCGCTCTCCGGACCTGAGCTTCCTCAGCTCGCCCGGCTCCGCCTCCGCGCTGAAGAAGACCTTTCCTGAGACGCAGTCCACCTCCGGGGAAAAACAGAAACCAGACCACACCGGGAGGGTGCTTCGGGCGAGCGCTTCCAGAGGCCCCCGCACCC